GCCCCCAGCCATAGGCCCAGGTGTCCGGGAAGAAAGAGCACAGAGTCATCCGTGACCTAAGCTGAGCAGGCCTCAGGGCGCTGATGTGTTTTCCTAGCATCTCACCTGTGCTGCTAACTCTGGTGCTGGGGAGAAGTCACAGCCGTGTCCACTGCCGTGACTGGGACGTGGAATTTCAAATTCTGCCTCTGGATGTCATCAGAGGAAGCAGAGGACCCGCCTCAGAGGCCAGATCCCCAGGCTGAGCAGGAGGTCCACATCCCCAACTCTAGCCAGAGGGTCCTGCAGGTAGAGCAGAAGATAGGAGCTGAAACTAGGTCTTGAGGGCATCTGGGTGGTTTTGAAAGGGGTCCTCGACTTGTGAAACCAAGTTGTATACTGTGACTTCTAGAGTCACAGTGTGCAAACTATCAGCCCGAGAGTCACGCAAATGATCTTCAGATCCATACACCTTCATATGACTTCCCTTGTCATTTTGGAAGCTTCCAGTCATGGAGAATACCTTTTGAAGTACTGGGATAGAATTCAGAAGGACTGACCTTCCTTCAGGTCCTGGCTGTGCCATTTATTAGCCAGGGGATCCTGGGACAATCTCTCTAAACCTCTTTTTTTTAATTTTTACTTTTTAAAATTATGAAAGTATGATAACACATTTACATAAGACTTAGAAAATACAGAACAAGGTTACATATAGTTCCAGTATGTGTGTATGTGCAGTCTCTTCAGTTGTGTGCGACCCTATGGACTGGAGCCTGCCAGGCTTCTCTGTCCATGGGATTCTCCAGGCAAGAGTACTGGAGTGGGTCGCCACACCCTCCTCCAGGGGATCTTGGAACCTACATCTCTTTGTCTCCTGCATTGGCAGGTGGGTTCTTTACCACTAGCTCCACCTGGGAATTAGTTGGAAGTTTCAATATCAAACTCAAAAATTAATAGGATGAATATACAGAGAAGTAGAAGGATATATAGTACACTTGATCTAAACCTTTTATTCTCCCCTTAATTATGCCAATTAGCACAAGCCTCAGGGGCCCTTGGGAGTTAAAGAGAGCTAAACTCCTGGAGGAGAGCAGGTGCCTATGGAACGTGCGATTTCTGATTAGATCCTGGCTGACCATTCTTGGCGTATGTGCTCCAGATTAGGGTGTCTGCTCCTGGAATGTAATTTAAGCTAACTTCAGACACACACACACAGCTATTTTATATTGTGTCTGCCTGAGTATTTTAAAGTAAATTGTAGACATCCTGACCAGCTGTTAGCTATTCTGGGAAACCAGGAGGCCAGCAGGGCAGGCAGATATTACATGCCAGATTGTTAGGTCTCCACCTAGAGGTGGTGGTCCCCTTCCATCCCCTCCACCTGGGGAAATTCTATCCTTGGGTCGGGAAGATCCCCTGGAGGAGCAATGGCAATCCACTCCAGTATTCTTGCCTGAGGAGTCCCATGGACAGAGGAGCCTGGCGGGCTACAGTCCATGGGGATCAAAAAGAGTCAGAACTGAGTGACTGAGCACACACATACACATGCATAGTCTATTTCAGAAAAGACTTAACAGTCCATTTAATGAATGTTCATTTTATCTGAATTTGGAGTCAGGCTTACCTTATCTGAAGCATGGAGAAAATTCTGGTCTTACTTATCTTCAAAGGGAGCAGTGAGTATTTATTGGTTTAAACATGACATCATTTAATGACGTCAAACCTAGACTCCTGCCAGATCCTTGCACAGAGGGGTTCCTAGGCCACTTCCACTCACCTGATATAATTACGTGGTGGCTTTGATCACATCAGGCCATCCAGCACAAAGGTAAATTCTGCCTGCTGAGACAGAACTTAGGAATTTGCTCTTTCTTTGGTTATAATTGTTCCCTAACTTTATAAAAACTCAGGAACTCTGAGGCAGAATTGTAAGTCAGCAATGCAGAGTTGTTTATCTCTTTAAGGACTTCTGCCCTGATTAGGGTTTAGAACTCTGCTCCCTGAGGTAGATAGAATCAAGTCTCAGGAAGAATCTTCTGAATTTGTGGAAAGGAGCTGAGGCCTCGTGTAACTAACAGGAAGGAGAGCCTCTTTCCTGTTTATATTCCACAGTGTCTAGATTTTTGTGGACAGTATTGGAAAGCAATCACCTCAGATTACACTGAGACTCCAAATTTGCCTGTAATTAGCATTTTTAAAATGTCTGACACATCTCAGACATAATTGGTGAGACTCATTATTTCCAACTCAAGGCTAAAATTGTTTTGTTTTGTTTTTGATATTGCAAAAATATACTGTTAAATGATGTTCTCAAGATATTTAAACTTTTGAATTGGGACAGTTGTTGCTAGTTCAGAATATATCCTTGGAAAAAGGATAGAGTTTTTAAAGTTCTTTAAAAAAAAAAAAAGCTGTAGGGCATCTGCTCCTTCATTATCCAACCATGAAGCATTCAGGAGAAGGGGATGATGCTGACAAAGTGTTCTTGGGGATGCTGGGGAGACAGGCTCAGTTACTCCAATCTCTGTGATCAGCAACAAGAGGTTAATATAGGCAAGTGTTTCAGTTCACCTGACCAGACTAAGTAAACCCCAAAATAGGTTTATGACTTCGTAGGAAGTATGGGAAATCCAGTTTTTGTTAAGAAAAGGGTGTTGTCTCCTGGAACTTATTGTTGCTACTAATTTCATCATGGCCCTACAAAATAAGCCTCCTGCATTTTAAATGAATGAATCCATGACTAACTGAATTACAGAATTAATTATATGCCTTTCTACTTCTTTCAATGTCACAATGCCCTTTTTCTTGTCATGTCAACTATTGTAAAGTGTTTTCTGTTTTAGTAGAGCAATATTTTTCACCATATTTCAGTCCCAGCAGCTTCCTACTATTTTCCTACCTATTTTCCCTCCCCAAAGCCAAAGAGATAGAAGGAAAGCTCTACTTACTCCCATGAAAATATTAGCACTGAATCATTGGCCAAATGAAGCCGCAGGTGGGAGCATCATGGGCAGTCTGATTTTCACCATAGCAGTACTGTGTCTCTTTTTGTTGCTCAGCTTCCATGGAGTAGGCTAATTTTGACCTAGGTTTTCTTGACATTTGAATGGCAGCCAATAAGTTTCACTCATTCAAATTTCCTGTAATTCTTAAATGACGTAGAAGTTACTGATAATCACTTTAACAGAAGAATGTTTAATTAATGTTATTTAAAGGACAGCAGCAGTTGTCTTTGTCATATCTTTTTAGTTCATTCTAAAGGGTGGCTCAGTGGTAAAGAATCTGCCTGCTAATGCAGGAGACACAGGAGATACAGGTTTGATCCCTGGGTCGGGAAGATCTCCTCTAGGAGAAAATGGCAACCCTCTCCAGTATTCTTGTCTTGGAGAATCCCATGGACAGAGGAACCTGAAAGCCTACAGTCCATGGGGTCACAAAGAGTCAGACAAGACTGAGTGAGCGCACAGGCTAAGATAAAAGAGCCACTAGTTAATGGTGGTCCCAAATAAAATTAAAGATAGTAGAGATTATAAGTCTTAAGTATCAGACTTTGACAAAGACCAGATCAAGGTTGGAAGGTCCTTTGAGACCAGAAGATTTTGACAAAGAAGGAATATTTATTATTATTATCTATTATTGATGAAGGAATATATACAACTTGATTGAGGAAGTGTAAAGAAGAAGGTGGGAAACAGTGAAGGAAGCCCTCCTCAGTTCATGGATAACCTTCCAGTTCATGATGGACCATGAGAGCTTCTCAATATTCTGACAGCAAGGCAGAGCACATGGCATGAACTTCCATGCTTTTCTAGATATTATGAACAGATCCATAATCATTGACTTTTCTTGAAAGAATTCTGAAATTACTCCCCTGAGGATTATCCTAGGTGGTGTTTTAATAGTATGTTCTAAGTCTTTAATAATGTTTAAATAAAGGAAAATTCTACAACCCTGCAATTTGCACTGTATTACATCAGTAATACTAGGTACCCTCTAGACCTAAGACATGAAACAGAGCTGACAAAAGTATTAGTGAAATACTTGAGGGGAACCCAAATTAAGCTCACAACTTACCGCTGAATTTTCTGAGATAAACCAGAGACCTTTGGTATGAAAAAAAAATCATCCTAGAGTTTGAAAATTAATCTTAACTAATGCCAAATAAACTGACATGCAGTAGATAACTAATGAAAAATATGATGCATTTAAAAACAGTAAAAAAGATACAGTTTTCTTATTTAACCACAAAATTGGAGCTGTCACATATAAAGCATTTTAGAAACTAGATGGGAGGTGCTGTTGTCTAGCTTTTCAAAGCAACATTCACTCCTTAACTAAGGAGCATCGTTTTGATGTTGTTCCAGGGAACAGAACTCTGAGTAAGTGGCTTTGGTCCTGTGTTTATGATGCACATGGTCAATTACAGCCATGCAGTGGGATACTGTAACTCTCAAGGGGCCACTGAAGAGATTTACTGTTTTCCAGTATTTTATTTTGGAAAAATTTTCCTCAAAGTTTCCTGTCTACAGAATAATTGCATTACATCTGGCAGAGAATCATGTTTTCAAGATTGGTTCCTGCAAAAGGGCCTTCTTTTTTATAGCTGGGGACGTTACAAATAGTTCTATTAACATTTCTGCAGAAATCTGCCATGAAATATTTTGAAAAGTTCTCGTACAATTGATACTTAATCTCTTCCACTTCAGAAATTATTTGAGCAATGTCATCAGATGATCCAAATCCCAATTTATTTTTAAATGTAAAAATGGAACTAGCATTTAATGAAAAATTTCTGGACACCAGGTAAGCAAAATGGAATCTGTAAAATTAAGAAAGTTTAGGTACTTGTTACTGTAACATAATGAATATATGAAGGTCTTTTTAGAAGAGAAACCTCTATTCAAAAGATTCTGCCAGTGTTGTTCCCTTTTCCTTCCAGTTTATTATCAGCTCATGTCTCAGGTTCACATCCATAAGCAATGAGGTCGCTAACCCGGATTTCTGTTTTCTCTTTATTCCAGAAGCCTCCCGAGCTTTCTGAGGATGATACCCGGCTAAAACACGAGAGAGACAACTGTAGTGCCAAAGCCCTGGAGCCTATCACCAGCTCTCTTCCCTCAGATCACAAAAACATGGAAATTGAGGTCTCTGTTGCAGAATGTAAGAGTGTTCCCGGAATCACCTCGACTCCACATTCCATGGACCACCCCTCCCCTTTCTACTCAACCCCCCACAATGGCCTCCTTGCTGATCACCACGAATCTCTGGATAATGATGTGGCCAGAGAGATCCGATATCTAGACGAGGTGCTGGAGGCCAACTGCTGTGATTCTGCTGTGGACGGAACCTACAACGGCACATCCTCCCCGGAGCCTGGAGCAGCCATCTTGGCAGGAAGCCCAAGCCCGCCCGCCCCCACGGCTGTCCAGCCGGAAGTCCCCGAGAGGGCAGCCGGGAGACAGGCTCCTCCTCACCTTGAGCTCCATCAGAGCGACTCTGACACCATGGCCGAGGGCAGAAGAGCCAACGGCCACCCCCCTGAGCAGCCCCGAGATGCACTGGGGGACAGCCTGCAGGTGCCCGTGAGCCCCAGCTCCTCCACCAGCTCGCGGTGCTCCTCCCGGGACGGGGAGATGACGCTCACCACGCTCAAGAAGGAAGCCAAGTTCGAACTGCGTGCCTTCCATGAGGACAAGAAGCCCTCCAAGCTCTTCGAGGACGACGAGAGTGAGAAAGACCAGTACCGTGTCAGGAAAGTGAGGCCTTCGGAAGAGATGATGGAGCTGGAAAAGGAGAGGCGGGAACTCATCCGGAGTCAGGCCGTGAAGAAGAACCCCGGCATTGCCGCAAAATGGTGGAACCCTCCTCAGGAGAAGACCATCGAGGAGCAACTGGATGAGGAACATCTGGAGTCGCACAAAAAGTACAAGGAGCGCAAGGAGAGGAGGGCGCAGCAGGAGCAACTGCTGATGCAGCAGCAGCAGCCCCCACCGCAGCTCTGCACGGCCCCCGCCTCCTCACGGGACCGTCCCGGTGTGACTGACCACCCAAAGGAGGACATCGTCACGGAGCAGATAGACTTCTCCGCGGCGCGCAAACAGTTCCAGCAGATGGAGAATTCCAGGCAGACAGTGGCCAGGGGCCAGAGTACACCCAGGCTCTTCTCCATCAAGCCCTTCTACAAACCTCTGGGGTCCATCAACTCAGATAAGACACTGACCATCTCCAGACCAGCTTCTGTCGGGGCACCTCTGGAAGACTCCTCAGCAGCCAAGGGGCAGAAAGCCCACTGTGCCCCAGAGAGTCAGTCTTCTGGAGGAGGGGGCCAGGGCAGCACAGCTCCCCAGGGAAAGGAAGGGCCGTACAGTGAGCCCTCCAAACGCGGGCCCTTATCCAAACTGTGGGCAGAGGATAGTGAGTTCACAAGTGCTCGGGCCGTCCTCACCGTGGTCAAGGACGACGACCCTGGGATCTTGGATCAGTTTTCAAGGTCAGTCAACGTCTCTTTGACTCAAGAGGAGCTGGACTCTGGTTTGGACGAGCTGTCGGTGAGATCCCAGGATACCACCGTCCTGGAGACCCTGTCCAATGACTTCAGCATGGACAACATCAGTGACAGTGGGGCCTCCAATGAGACAACCAATGCCCTGCAGGAGAATTCACTGGCCGATTTTTCTCTGCCCCAGACTCCCCAGACTGACAACCCCTCAGAGGGCCGAGGAGAAGGGGTCTCCAAGTCATTCAGTGATCAGGGTTTCTATTCCCCTTTGTCCACACTGGGAGACTCTCCATCGGTTGATGACCCCTTGGAATATCAGGCTGGCCTCCTGGTGCAGAATGCCATTCAACAAGCCATCGCCGAGCAAGTGGACAGAGCTGGGTCTGAAACCACCAAGGGCGGAGCAGAGCAACAGGGACCTCAAGCAAGTCAAGAGAAGGCTGGCCCGAGTGCTCCCAGCTCAGAGAAGCCTCAGAGCATGTTTGAACCACCTCAGGTGTCCTCCCCTGTTCAAGAGAAAAGGGATGTATTGCCAAAGATTCTGTCTACTGAAGACAGGGCACTCAGGGAAAGGGGGCCCTCCCAGCCACTGCCAGCGGTACAGCCCAGTGGCCCAATAAACATGGAGGAGACCAGACCGGAAGGGAGCTACTTCAGCAAGTACTCAGAAGCCGCTGAGTTAAGAAGCACAGCCTCGCTCCTGGCCACTCAAGAGTCCGATGTAATGGTTGGGCCCTTCAAGCTGAGGTCCAGGAAGCAGCGGACTTTGTCCATGATTGAAGAAGAAATCCGAGCAGCCCAGGAAAGGGAAGAGGAGCTGAAGCGGCAGAGACAAGTCTTGCAGAGTACCCAGAGCCCCAAGGCAAAGAACGCCCTATCACTGCCCTCCCGAACGTCGTGCTACAAGACAGCTCCAGGTAAGTGAAGTGTCGCAGACCAGAGACAGATGCTGCAGAAATCGGTGTTGTTGATTCCAGCTAACAGCGTTCTGTGTGGAGCCACCTCTATGCGTGGCTAGCTCAGTGTCAGGGAGACACTGGTTCGGGGATTCCAGTGTTCAGAGACACACAATGGGGATGTCAGAGCGTCTTCTGGAAGAATCTTGAGCCTGGATGGTGTTCGCCATTTCCCAGAGGGTTTAATGGCTCCTTTCTTGTCCTTCTGCTCTGGTCTTCGTGTAATATGGAGAATTGCTCTCTGTTTATTGTTCTCTCTTGGTTGAGCTAGGCTATGTGTGGTGCTGACCTAGAGTCGGCCGTTTTGTGGACTGTGTTGATATCAGTAACTTGACCCTTGGTATCTGCAGTTAAATCAAGCCTGTCTGGTTTGGGAATATCTTCTCCTAGCCCCTTCTGGATGCTGAGTCTCTTCCCAGCAATGACAGTTATGGGTTGGTATTGCAGATTGACCCATAGAAGATGTTTCTGTCCATTTTCTGTATAATGGGATTTGTCTGTCTTTAAATCACCATAAAGCAATTACTTAGGAATCAAGGTCATCACATCTATTTGTGTTCTGTGACCCTTTTGGAGAAGTTGAGTTCTCTGTGTAAAAGACAAGCCTCTATTCTCCTCCCATTGCTTGGACAGTTCCCTATCTTGAATATTTTGTACAGATGGTTGATGTTAATTTCAGTGATTACTATTGTTGCTACCGTTACAGATAACAGTGTGACCAGTAATTTTTATTTCCCATTTGGATATGCTGTTACTTGGGGAACCGCACATCCTGCCACAGAGAAGGGCTGCTCAAAGTGTGGTCTGAGCTCATTTATGGCTATTCTTGGTCCATGATAAGATCAGTCCAGACATTGGTAAAGAGTTTGAAAACTCTTGGAGCAATTTGACATTATCTTCAAATCCAAGTGCAGGATTTTGTATTTTTAAGAAAGTATTGATCCATAATGGACTGGGCAGAATAACTATTCCTTCACTGGAGAGAATTTCAGAAGTGCTGCCTTACTATATAATTACTGTATTTAGCTTGGTCTATCCAGACCTTGGGCTTCCTGCGTAGCTCAGTCAGTAAAGAATCTGCCTGCACTGCTTGAGACCTGGGTTCGATGTCTGGGTTGGGAAAATCCCCTGGAGAAGGAAATGGCAACCCACTTCAGTGTTCTTGCTTGGAAAATCCCAAGGACAGAGGAGGCTGGCAGGCTGCAGTCCATAGGGTTGTAAGAGTTGGACATGACTTAGCACTGTCTTTCTCCTTTTCTTCTTCTTCCAGACCTTAATCCCATCTTGATTCCTTAATCAAGATCAAATCTATAATGACACAAGTTAACTCTTTCCATGTTAACCTTTAAATTTTGAAACAATCTCAAAGCTAAAGAAAAGTCCCCTAATGAAGTACCAATATCGTTTTTATTCAGAAATATTTACGAGTAAGTTGCCAAAATGATGCTCGATCACCCCCCATTTTTATAGAATGTCCCTCAGTTTGGGTTTGTCAGATATTTTCTCATGATTATGTTCGGGTTATGCATCTTTGGTAGGAATACCACAGAGTTGATGGTTATTCTTCTCACAGAACTCAATCAGGTAGTACATTGTGTCAGTTTGTCCCATTGTAGGGACAGATGTTAACTTTTTTCCGCTTAATACTAATTTTGATGGCTTGATTTGAGGGAGTGTTTGCCAGGCTTCTATACAGTAAAGTTACTTTTTCTTTTTGTGATGAACAAGTATTCTGTGGGGAAATGCTTTGGTGCTATGTATGTAATTTTCATCCCTCTCCATAATAGATGGTCTTGTGGATTCCTGTTATATTTAGTAGGTTGTAATCCATTTCTGTTATTATTTTTATCCTTGATTGTTCAAATATAGTTCACAGGGGCCCTTTCAAGCTAACTTCAGTGTCCTTTTGACATGTCTCCATTATTCTTTGGGCAAATCTTTACTTTCTGGTGCTGCAAAATGTACCAGTCTCATCTTAAAGTTTCCTAACCCTGAAATCAGCCCTTTCAATAGAGAGCACTAGTTCTTGTTAGTGGAGAATGGTGGTATTTAGAATGGTGGTATTTTTAGTGGTATTTAGAAACCAAGATCTGGGTGCTTGGTGTGCTCACTGCTATTGGATAGGCACTGCTCCCAGGCACTCTCAATGGTCAGAATTCTATCTGTTGATCTATCAGTTAATCTACCTACCTACCTACCTACCTATCTTACCTATCTATCTACCTACTGAAAACCATGACCTCACCCTGATACCTTTAGTTTTAATCTAATACCATTTTCTTTCTTTGCAGATTTGTAATCTTCTCCTTGACAGCAAGATACCTGGTTCCTATTAGCCTTCATGTATTTATTATTTGATCAGTTTCCCCCTGTGGAACCAATCTACTGTTTTCCTCACCAAACATCGACTCCAAAGTCACTTTTTAGGTAGCCACTGCTGTCCCCTGCACGTCCCTCACCCATCTTGGACTCCAGCACCCTATATTGGGTCACGCGTCTCCTTGCCCGCCTTGCTCTGGTTCCACTGTGGCTCCTCCCCCACTCCTTGCAGAAACCTGTCTCTGTCAGCCCCAAGTAATGGCTTTTGAACTAAATTGTTCAGGAAGGAAAGGGGAGGGAGCAGGAAGAGGGATACATGGTGACTCTCTCTCCTGATATGTTGTTTAATTCCTTCAGGTTACAGGGTAATAGGCAACTGAGTGAGTGAGTGAAGCAAAGAAGACTTTCAGGGGAGGTTTTTTTGGTTTCTGCTTACTGGTGACTTGCTGGCTTTCCCCAAAGGTCCTTACTTATCAAGTTCACTTCAAATTCTTGTGGGCTGGCTTGGCACAGAGATGGTAGTTGGGCATTCTATATGGTATCCTGGAAAAAGCTTTGGTACCTGTTGAATTCAGCCCAATCTGGGGAGCCTACCCTCACAAGGGTGTGATTGTAAAGGACCTCCATAAGAGCCTGCAGTCTCACTAATGGAGGAAGTCTTTGCAGGCATTTCAGCAACTTCTGCTCACATGGCGGGCAGATTCCATGGCTCTCTGATCAGTTACAGCTGTTCCACTTACCTGGAACCTTCTCTGCATTGTATATGCTCAGTGGTATTTTCAGTTTTCCCCTCTCCACCTCTTAACAGAACCCCTTACCATATTGCTTCCATATTTTTCTAGCACACAAACAAAAATTAAGACATTTCAATACTTTCCTGACCTGCTGTGGTTTGTCAGGCTTCCCGCCAGACTTTAAACAAGACAGAATCCTAATGTATGCCCTGGGCAGCCCCATATTGATTTTCTTGTACTTCCCCCTATGCTAATGTTAATCTCCTCCCCCCATATTCCATCCCTGCAGGGTTGATTCCTGTTCCTTTAGTAAGATGGTAATTCATCCCTGCAAGCCTGCTTGGGTCTGATTGTCACACTGAGCACAGTCATGATAATGACCTGTTTTGCAGCTCATTTCTTCATGTTTATCTCTAGAACATTGAAAGTAGGTGGCAGGACTTCCCAGAATTACAACACGGATTGAAAGAAATTGAATGCAAAAGGCGATTTTTTTTCTATCCATGCCTGGAAATGTTTAGATTATTGTTTGGCCAGCCAACTTCTTAATTCGTGATCAGGAAGAAGGCTGACACATCACTCTGAGCCACCAAACTGGACCATTCATGGTCAGGATCAGAACTGCTGGCTCCAGTTTGGTTTTGTGAATGGAGATGTTGCTGAGTCCCTACCCACCAAATGTTTCATGCCATTAGAGGTGATTCAGCCAGTTCTTTGCGTGACTCATAGTGACAATTTGATATTAAGTGATGAAAAATACACTTTTTAACATCTCCTATGGTAGAAATTATGCTGGTGACATGTTGGAATCCTAAAATCTTATGGCAAGTAAAATTCACTGAGAGCCAAAATGTGATAAGGAAAGAGAAGTGCTTTCCAAATATTTCCCGGGTGTTGAAAAGATACTTGTTATTGCATTTGGTTCTCTTGCCTTTTGAGACTGGAAGATGATGGGATTCTGTTTTCAAAAGTATGTAATGATCTTCAAAGATGAATTATTAGGAGAAATTTTATGGAAATTTAATCTCATTGGTTCTTATGTGATTTTTTTACTTAAAGCTTTTTTTTTTTTTAATGTGGACCATTTTCAAGTCTTTTGAATTTGTTACAATATCATTTCTGTGTTGGGGGTGGGGGTGGGGGGGGTTGGCCATGAGGCCTGTAGAATCTAGCTCCTCAAACTGGGGATGGAGCTCCCACCCCCTGCACTGGAAGTCAAAGTCTTAACCACTGGACTACTAGGAAAGTCCCTCTTATGTGATTTTTAAAGGAAGAAGAGTTTAAATAGGGTTTGTGTGGCATTTGTTCATACAGAAATGAAAAAGGCAGGTAAAGTCTCCACCCTCAGGGAACTTAGTTCAGTAATAGAAGCATCCAACAAAGATAGCTGTTTCATCACAGAGAAGCGTGGAGACCTGTGTTAGCATGGGGCAAGGAAGACCACCTTAGAGGGAGGGTAACGAAAGTCTTCCTTTCTCTAGAAACTATCATCTAAGCTTTGAACTGAAAGCGAAGAAGTTGGGTTCAGGGAATAGGAGAGGATGTTCCAGTCCCAAGGGAGGGCCTTTAGAGAGGCCCAAAGGAAGCGCACATTTGAGGTGCTTAAATAAAGTTAGGGTGGGTTAAAGGAGGAGATATAAAGCAAAACAAAAGAAAGCTGATTTGGAGCCAGACAGTGAAGAGCTATGTGAATCATGTTAAAGGTTTTAAATTTTACGCTTTATCCTGTGGTCAGTGGGAAGCCAGGGAGGATTTTTCAAAGGGGTGATTATCTCCACACCACTAAAGCTATCCTGCCTTCATCTGGGAATTGATGGATTTTAAAAATCATTCAGCTTTCCTGAGTCTGTCCCACTGGCTTCTTTTCTACGTAGGTCTAAAGGCCTGCCACCTTTTTGACGAGTGCCC